GACACATGTCATGACCAGCTAGGAACACCCCATTGAGGAGTGCCATCGCCTGTTAAGGGCATGGAAGTAAGTGAAACAGATGCCTTCGCCCACAGATTCTAAAATCAGAGGGTATTCATAAACCACCCCACAGATTTTCAGAGGAAACAGGAACTGTTAAAAACTTGACACACCACTAAGTACTTTCTTCTTCCGGTAAAAGAAAATGCTACTTTCTAGGAAGCTCACTAATTTGAAAAACATACAAGGTGGGGCAGTGCAGTGGTTAAGACAGCGCTCGGGACACGGGCATCTGACACGGTCGTTGGAGGGCCTGGATTCGTCTGGCTCCGCTGACAATGCCAGCTTTCTACCAACACCCACCCTCAGAGGAAGCAGGTAAAGACCTCATGGAGGAGAACTTCTTGGCTCCTGGTTCAGCCTGGCCCAGCTCCCCATCCACTGTGGGCATTTGTGGGATGAACTCACGGATGGAAAGCCTCTGTTTTCTCTTTCAGGTAAATAATTAATTAATTAATTAAAGTAATTCTTAAACTAATACAAGGAAATCAGTTGGGAACCCTTAGACTGAGTTACATCAGCTCATTTCAGGAGACGTAATTTCTTCTACGTGCAAAGCCACAGAACGCGTCTGACTCCTCCCAGAGCTGAGTGGGAGGGGTGGGCTTTGAGACAGTGCGCCTGTATTCCATACTGGAGGACCTGGGTTCCAGTCCCAGCTAGTCTGCTTTTAGTTCCAGATTCCTGCTCCTGAGCACCGCGGGCGGCATCTCCTTTCTACTTGGATGGGAGAGCTGGATTGAGTTCAGCCAGGCCCAGCCCATGAAAGATGTCTTTCACCGTCCCTCTGCTTTTTAAATTAAAACAAACACAATCATTAGAATTGTCTCAGAGAGAGAAAAGGCGTTGAATTTATTTTCTCTGAGAAAGTATTCCATATTACATAAAATAACCCAAAATCTTACTTCTCCCTTTGGGTTCATAGACATTTTGTAATATACACACATATGCACAAACTAGAAAGGAAAATTGACCAATTATAGGTAGCATTTTCTAGATTAACAGGTTGAAGTTAACCACATAAACTCTGGACAGTTCTAGATTTCTGTAGAACATTGCTCTGAATTTTAGGTTGACAAAAGAACAGCTGAGAAGGGCTCACGTGGTCAAGAGTGAAACCTTTAATGGGGGGGGGGGGTCGTCACTTTCCAGGTAGGGACGAGGCTGACAAGCTGTTCTGACGGCTTGGGTCAAGGTCAAGATCGGGGAAGACATAATAAAAGGACAGAGAGAAGCCTCTGCACCTCGCAAAGTGGGAGCTTGCATTCACGAGGAGGGAAAGAGGGGTCATCCAGCTCAGATAGCAAACTGTAGAGAAATTCTTGTAGACAACACTTTGTATTTTAATTTGCAGGGTCCAGGGGTTGACAGTATTTCAAGCATGGCAGTGTAGGGGCTGGTGCTGTGGTATAGCTGCTAAAGCTGCCGTCTGTGGCACCAGCATCCCCTGTGGGCCCCAGTCGAGGTCCTGGCTGCTGCACCTCCGCCCCAGCTCCCTTTTGATGGGAAAGCAGCAGAGGATGGCTCAAGTGCTTGGCCTCTGCACCCACGTGGGAGACCCAGACCAAGCTCTGGGCTCCTGGATTCAGACTGGCCAGCTCCAGTGCAGCCATTTGGGGAGTGAATCAGCAGATGGAAGGTCTTTCTCTGCAACGCTGCCTTTCAAATAAATAAATCTGAAGAAATTCCGCTTGAATGGAATCCAGATTAATACAAGTTTTTATTAATTTGATAATATATAGTAGACAAGTTGGCAAGTAGGGATTTGCTTTTTTTTCTTTTTTAAATTTTATTTGTTTACTTTAAAGTCAGAGTTACAGAGAGGCAGAGACAGAGAAAGGTCTTCCATCGACTGGTTCACTCACCAGATGGCCACAATGGCCAGGAGCTTCTTCTGGGTCTCCCACGCGGGTGCAGGGGCCCAAGGACTTGGACCATCTTCTACTGCTTTCCCAGGCCACAGCAGAGAGCTGGATCGGAAGTGGAGCAGCCGGGAATCGAACTGGCACGCATATGGGATGCTGGCACTGCAGGTGGCCGCTTTACCTGCTACACCACAGCACTGACTCACAGCACTGACTCCGGGTTTGCTTTTCATTAACCTTTTGTTGCAACCTTAAAAAACTCTCACTACCAGTAATATTTCAAACTTTAAGATCATGATTTTATAATGTGGAGATCAAATGTTTGCCAAGAGAACAACAGGAGGCCTTCTTAATGAGCGACAGGCAGTTAACTGGAGTCAGCGTGGATCACAGGGCACGCGGGCAAGTGCTACATTGCTGTAAGGGGGAGCCGGGCTGCGGATTCCAGCAAGTCCCTATCTGGGACATCAGGCAGGGCTCCAAGGGCCGAATGGGTGGGCTTGAGCAAGTCCCTATCCAGGGAGGGCGGCAGGGTTGGGGCAGACAGGAGCTTGGCAGGGTGCAGGTGGCTCTGCTGGTCAGTTCCAAAGGCCGGCTCCTCGTGGGGCCGGGACCTGGGGTGTGACCTATGGGGGATCACCAGGAACCGCCATCAGTAGCAAACTGGCTCTTAGATCACTGCTGTCCTTTAATCTTGAGGAAGAAAATGTAAATGTAAGAAGCCGCAAGCCCAATATCCCTTAATTAGGAACTGTGTGAGTAATTTCACATTAAAACGTGACTTAAAAAAACCACACAGCCTGCGTTGTGTCACCACGGGTTCAGCGGCTGGCACCATATATGGGCACTGGTTTGGGCTGCTTCACCTCCAGTCCAGGTCCCTGCAGCCACATGGAAGACCCGGATGAAATTCCTGGCTTCCACATGGCCCTGCCGTGGTCCTTGTGGCCTTTTGGGGAGTGACCCAGAGGATGTAGGATCTCCGTCTCTCTGTCTCCACGTGGTATACATTCTATAAAAGTTGACTTTTTGTATTTGAGCTGCACTGGTAGTGATTTCTAACTGTCCCAACAAATCACTTCACAAGTTGCTAATCCTAAATCCAGAACTTCCCAGGTCACCTAGGATTCCAGTAATTCTAATGTCGAGAGGTGTTTCGGCATTGTGGACTGGAATACATGCTCACTGATTTTATAGATTAACTCTGGAACACTCATGGCCTTCGGCTAAACACAGTTAATTCCATTTTGGACCATGATCATCGATCTAAACAAAATCAAACCTAAGCTCATTATTTGAAACTACCTCCCAAATCAACTCTGCTACAACAAGTGGGACTCCGTGGTGCTCAGGACTGAACAGCCCTCATAAAATCCCCTTATAGACACAGACGCACGTGGCCATCACCTACACTCAGCCCGACCAGGCAGGACAGGAGAAACAACTCCGTACCTACGGGATCTCGGTTCACCCGACCCTGTTCGCGCTAACGAACAGGTGCCTAGCGGGGCTGCCACTGCTCCAGCCCACAGCCTGGCCCGCGTCCCCTCGCCACACCGGGGCGTGGGGACCAGTGCCACCGGCCGTGTGGACGAGGACGATCACCGGGCGGACGGGTCTCACCCACGGTCCCGCCGCAGACCAGGGCGACTCCGCCCGCGCGCGGCCTGCGTCCCCGGTCAGGGCGGTGACCGCTGCCGTCCAGCGCCCCGACGGCCGCTCAGGGCTCCGCGCTCGGCCCTCTCGGGGTAAGCAGGGGCGAGCCCCAGAGTCGCCCGGGTCCCGCGAGTCACTTCCCCGCGCGGGGACAGCCTCTCGACCGGGGTCCCCCCGCCCACACCCACCCGCGGTGCCGGCCGGGGAGCCCGCGCCCCGCCCGCGCCCGCGCCGTCGCCAGGAGTGAGTCACTCGCGGCGGGCGCGCCCCCTCCTCCCGCCGCCGCTCGCGGGCCCTCTCCCGTGCGGTGGCCTTTCAGGAGCAGCCGCGCAGGTGGGCACAGGCAGCCCGCCCGCTCCTCCTCCCCTGCGCCGTCCCTAATTTAGCAGGACTTCCGGCCGCGTGACATCATCCCCCGCACCGGGTGACGCGAGCGGCGGCTGACGCGCGTGCGGCGAGAGCGCGCTGACGTTGCTATTTAAAGGTCCTCCTGCGGGGAGGATGGAGGCACAGCGCGAGCACCCGGGGCGGCGCGCGGAGGCGGCGGCCCGGAGCTCGCCGGCCGCCGGCCACTAGCGGCGGGGGCGAGGGAGGACGCACGGCCGGCCCGGCTGGCCCGCGCCCCGCGCGCGCGCTCCTGCGCTCCTGCGCTCCCGCGCTCCGGGTCGGCGGGGCCCGCGGGCGGGGCTCCGCGGCCGCCCCCGCCGCGCTCCAGCCCCGCTGCAGCCCCTCCCCGCCGCGGGCCGGGCCGGGGCCGCCCGCGCCCCGCGCTCGCCCCGCCCGCGCCCCGCCCCTGCCCCGCGCGGCCGCCGACCGGGACGCGGCGCCCTCCCCTCGGCGAGCGGGCGGGCTCGAGGCCGGCGGCGGGCGCTGAGCGAGCGGGCCGCGCTCGCCTCTGCCGGCCCTCCGCGCCCGGGGCGGGGGCAGGGCGCCGGGGCTCTGATTCATTCATTCGCCGCCGCTCGGCCGCGGGCGCAGGGCGGCTGCGGAGCTGGGCGCCCGCCGGGCCCCTTTGTGCTCGGCGGCGGGGGCCGGGAAGGGGCTGAGGGGGTGGGGTCGCCGCCTCCCCCTGCTGCCGCGGGCGCGCGGCGCCCCCAGCCTGCTGCCGGCCTGGACATGGCCCCGCTGCTCGCGCTCGGGAGAGCGACTCGGTCCTGCCCAGCCCTCGCGCCCGCCTCCCCGCCGCCTCCCCGCTCCGCGTCCTCGCAGGGGAGGCATTAGACAGATTCCGATGTGGAGCGCCGTGCACGCCGCGCGCTGCCGGCTGTGCGCTCGGAGCAGGCTGTGCTGTGCGGGTCTTGCCGACGGGAGCGCGGGCCAGCGGCGCCGGTGCGGCTGCTGCTGCTGCTGCTAGGATTTTTTTTTTTTTTTTTTTTTTTTTTTTTTTTTTTTTTTTTTTTTTTTTTTTTTTTTTTGCTGAAGTGCACGTCGGCCAGCTCGCTCGCTCCACCCCCCCGGGGACCTGGTGTGGAGAAATTTGAACCCGCAGCCCCCGCGCCGAGAAGGCCGGCTTCCCGGGCCCTGCCCAGGCGTGCAGGGGCCTGAGCGGAATGGGCGGCGCGGCCGTGTTTCCGAGGACTCCGTGAAGCCGGCTCCGGTCCTCCCCCATGGAGGCTCCCGCCGTGGAGTAGCGCGGCCGCCGTCTCCTCCGCCGAGCGGGTGCACCTGTGTCCGGACGCGCGGGTGTCTCCGAGGGAGCACGGAGTGACCGGTCGGCGGCACCGAGGGACCTCGGGGGCGGCGCGGCCAGGTCGCCGCTCGGAGCAGCCCCTCTGCCCGCCGGCTAACCCCGTCGCCGCGAGCAGGAACTTGCGAGCAAGTTTTCGCTGGGCAAGATGGGGTAAGGATGTGTGTGCACCCGCGTGTCGGTGGGCGGCCGTGCTGCCGGTGCTGGGCTCGCGGCGTCCCGGCGCGCCTGCCGCCTCGCCGAGCTGGCCCTGCCTTCAGCCACGGGCGCGCTCACCTTCCGCGAGCTATTTCTGTCGAGTGACTCCGGAGTCGGAGGGAAGGCGCGCGTCCCGGCGAGTGTGGGCTCCGCGGGCGCGTTCGCGGGGCCGCCGCTGCCCGCTCGGGCTTCGGGCTGGCAGCTGGTTGGGTTTCCGGGCAGAACCGCGCGACCTGGGGGTGTGTGGCGGCGCCTCCCGGAGCCCGGCGCGGCGGACTCCGGCCGGGGGCGCGATCCACGCTCGGTCGTTGCTGCCCCCGCCTTGCCCTCTGTGTTGCCCTTGAATAGCCAAAGCTGAAGTGCGTGGGGTCGATTGATTGGGCATGGACACTTGGGAGTCGCAGGCGCGCGGGGCGGAGATCGGATGTGGACAGGCTCCTGGTGGAAGGAACTTGTACACTTTTTCTCCTTTTTTTTTTTTTTTTTTTTTTTTTTCTGTGTCGCTCAGACCTGCTGTTTGTGTTAAGTGTCATTCCTTCTCCTGCCTTCTCACCCAAAGCCAGTCCAGAGTGCATTTTCCTAACCTTGGATTCGCTCTCAACACTGTCGCTGCTTAAAATCCTAGCGACCTCCTCATGCAGGCTGGAAACCCGTATAACCCTGGAGTAATGAGCTACTCCTGCCCGTGATAGATCGCCCGTGCTTTCGGTCTAAGGGGGACTGCCAGAATCTTCCTTGTTTTGTGGTTAAACAGCTACGCTGGGTGTAGTTGAGGGCAAGATTAGAAGGAGGGGATTCTGATTGTGTTCTGAGGTCCAGGGCTGTCGCCACGCTTTCTGAAACTCCCAGACCAAAGTTCTTGGATAGGGTCTTTCTGTTGCAATTACGCTTGAAGCTGGTGGACTTGAACAGTTCAGAATACACGACGTAGGAGTCCGTTCTGAGGAACTGAATGTTTGAAACATTAAATGGTTAGTGTTCTGAACTTGCCTGGTGTGGGGCAGCGCTAAGAGTAATTAAGTCAGCAGTCCTGTTTCTGGTGCTGCTGTTAGTAGCTTAGTGCTGGGAAGCAGGTTAGCCTCCGTGACTCGTGGTTTCTGTGGCATGAAGGAGTTCCATGAGGTGGCCTTTTAAAAAGGCTCCAACCCGTGAAAATGAATTTCTTTCTTTCCTCACCCTTCTTCCCGTTTCAGTGGTTACCGGCTGGTTTCTTGAAGTAGCTGTTTCGGATGGCAGTTGAAGTGCTGACACGGGAGAGTGCTAGCATTGGGAAACTGCTCCAGATGAATACCAGTTTTAAATGAGGGTCTTCGAAATATGGATTCCCTTAAGCATCAGTGGCTCTGTTTAAATGTGTTGGAGAAGAAAAATAAGCAGTTTTTTTTTTTTTTTCCCGTGTTGAAGGCTGCGTCCTCTGTAGACGGTGTGGTGGGAACATCATGGAAGAAAACCCGTTTTGCGTAGTCCAGCTCAGCATTGTGCTAAGGGAATGTGGGGTAAAGTTGACACGAGAGCACTGGTGTTTACACTGTGGAAGCCCTTCAGGTAGGATCAGGCGGGTGTAGACAGGCAACATAATGAAACTTAGACGGGCAGCATGTTTGTTTGCTCTTTCGTGAAGGACTGACTTGAGAAAGGAGAGTGAGTGTGCTGTTAGTTTTGCTGTGACTTGTGTCACGTGAGTTGTTGAGAGGGCCAGGCTGGGAGCAGGCAGCAAAGGCATTTGAGGAAGGCTCCGGGCTTGGCCGGAGCCGGAGCTAATGTTTGTGGAATGAGCCAAGCTGCCCGGACCCTGAGGAAGGCTTTAACGTTTCACCCAGGCCGTCCCAGCTCTTTGGCTCTGACTGGTGCCTACAGGTCAGGGCTGTGGGTGAAGAGTTTCACCTGTTACAGACACATCGGGTTGTTGTAAGTTTATCTTTGCCTTCATTAGGCATATCATTGAACGTCTTGGCGCGAAGTCTAAGCAGAGGAATTATTTTTGACAAAATGGGTGGTTAGTTTAGGCAGAAAAAAAAAAGATGATGGCTCCCGCACTAGTAGTTTCTGCACTGTGTGGAAATGGAAAAGAACAGCTGGAACTGACAGTTGGCAGAGTCTGTCAAAGTATCTTCAATGTTGCCCGAACTGTTTTAATTGCAGTGGAGGCAGCTGAAGTTCGGGCTTGCAAAATAGGTGTCTGAAGGCCCCTAAGAAGGACGGCGTTCAGGTGTGCGAGGTGGTGTCCACGGGAGGTGTCAGAGCGTTGCGGAGCAGCCGGGTAGATCGGACCTCCCCACCCCCACGTAGTATCTCAGAATGAGAGCCGTGAGTCAGGAGCTATTTCCGAACGATTAGAACAGGCAGCGGAAGTCAGGTAACTTCAGGCAGCTATTCCGTGCTGCTTTTTGTTTTTATTTAGCTCCTGTTGGCAGTGTAGTGCCACCAGCAAGGGAATAGAGAATCCCCCCACCCCCGCCCCATTAAGAGCTGGTTATGTGTAAAATGGGTTCTGCCTGCTAATGCAGTCTGGTAATGCGAGTTCTGATTTGACTCGCCTGCCTGTGGGAACCTCGGATCCCTCTTTCCCTGAATCACTTTGTGAAGCAGGTAGCGGGGACTGCTACCTTGCCAGCTGAACTGAGTCCCTTCTCTGCTGCAAGACAGGAAGCGGGGGGTCTGCCCTCTAGGGATTGTAGCACAGAGGGGAGTTGACCCAGGCCTGCGAAATGAGTGGTCTTCGTTGCAAAGGCAGCTGTACACCAAAGCGAAATGCAGTTCCTTAATGCTCTGCTCATTTGGAGGACTTTGAGCACCTGGCATTCTGCGCTCAGTACCGGCTGAATCAAAGACTAGTACAATGTGCTGCTTCCCTCAAGGAGCTTATGGTTTAGAAACTGGGCGGACAGTCCAGCCCGACGATAGAAAGTGCAGGGAAATGCTGAGATACACCGCAGAGCATCCGAGTCTCAGAGAGTTTGTGGCATGAGCTGCCCAGGGAAGGCGAGGCTTCGTGGAGGAGGCAATGTGGACTTTGTAGACTACTAGGAGGGCATTCAAGGCAGAGGAACAATATGATTGACACCTGCAAGATGAGCTGTGAAGGCGTTTGGAGTGAGGCGCTTCCTGTGCTTGGGCTTCACTGGGTGTAGCAAGACCCAGGTCTGAGAGCCTTGCTCACCAAATGAAAGACTTGCGGTTGCATTTCAAGCTTTCTGGGTAGGGTACACATCGTTACATTGTGACTTTGTCCATGTCTGCTCATACATAGTGATAAAATGTCAAAATAATACCCTTCTTTGTGTGATACGCTCTTGTAGTTTCCAGTCTATTCTGTTTCACTCTATTTTTAAGCAAGAATGATGTGAGAAGCCACTGAATTTATTTAAGAATCCATGGCAGCAGCTGGTAATTTGAAAAACACTGGCTGTGGGACCCACTAATGGGTTTTAGGCAGATAGCATGAAGGATGAGGCACGTAGGGTGAGAAAATAGTGTGTAAAATCGTTTGGAATTTGGTTTTGTGCGTTCTGTCCTGTGGAAACACCAAGGCAGAGTGATGATGCATAGCTGGTAGAGGAGAGGAAATAATTGGGCAGGCCCTGGAAGGTTGCGTGGTGGACAGGGAAGGCGTGTGACTGAGGGGGTGCAGTGGGCTGAGTGCGTCTTCAGAGCTAGGATTTCCCGTGCAGAGTGACGAATACAGGGAGCAGTCTGGTGACTGAGCAGTGCAGTCGCTCCCTGTCAGAGGGTCGTGAGCTAGTGAATGTGGGAGTCGAGGGATCAGCAAAAACTGTCCTTATTCGTGGTCTGTGGTTTTGAGTGATGGACGTCTCGGGGGAAGGTAGCATCTCAAAAGCTCCTGGCTGATGTTCAGTCGTTTAGTGGTTAGTGGAAACATTTATTTTTACTTGAGGATTAATCCAGCTAAGTGGTCAGAAGAGTAGGGAAAATGAGTCCCAACTATTTAATATTTTCTGTTCTTTTCTCCTGATGGAATTTTTGAGTGACTATAAAAACATATTAAATAGCTTTGCTGTATCTTGGGACCCAAGGGGATGAAACGTGCCGTTTTTTGCTCGCGTTGCATATCTGCAATGCCTGTGACCTGTGGCTGATGCAGGTTGCGAGATTTCATTCTGCTTGGAGTGAGCACGATATTCCTGAAGATCAAAAACACTTCTCTGTTAATTATTGAAAAATTGAGTGATTTCGAGGCACTGTAAGATTGCGGATTCATTAAGCATCTTCATTTCAAAGACTCTCCCTAAGAGGACTATCTATACAGTTGTTAGCCCACATAGAGGAACTGAGATAAAATTTCCAATCTTACCACATTGTATTTCAAGAGTAGGTACAGATTTTAAAAGCTAATCATTCAGTCTGACAGAGGAAAAAGAGATGAAACTGATAATGCTGCTTGTTATGAGCGATGTTTTGGAGGGAAGAGGCTGAGGTTATTGTGTTTTTTTGTTTGTTTGTTTTTTGACTGAGTTAGAGAGACAGAGAGAAAGGTCTTCCTTCCGTTGGTTCACCCCCCAAATGGTCGCTATGGCTGGCGCGCTGCGCTGATCCGAAGCCAGGAGCCAGGTGCTTCTTCCTGGTCTTCCATGGGGGTGCAGGGCCCAAACACTTGGGCCACCTCCACTGCCTTCCCGGGCCACAGCAGAGAGCTGGACTGGAAGAGGAGCAACCGGGACAGAATCTAGCGCCACAGGCGGAGGATTAGCCTAGTGAGCCGCGTCGCCAGCCATGAGGTTATTGTTATATCAAAATTATCTTTTTGTGCTTTGCCTTTGTCCTTCATTTGCATTTTCTTTTTTTCCCTGAAAGATTTGTTTACTTATTTGAAAGCCAGAGTTAGAGACTTAGAGGCAGAGACAAATGGCTGCAATAGCCAGGATTGGGCCAGGGCAAAGCCGGGAGCTTCATCCAGGTGTCCCATGTGAATGACAAGGGCCCAAACACTCAGACCA